GTTTTTTTTTTTTTTTTGGTGCAACATACATTGCGTATGACATTTTTAGTATAATACTGTTTAGTACTTGTACTTTAAGAAAATCAAACTAAGTAATATCGACTTTTGACTGGTAATTTATGCAAACCTCACATCAAATACATTAATGATTTGCTGTGTCGAAAGAATGTGAAAATGTTACGGCAAAAGTCCATGTAACTTAGTTTAATTTTTTTTAAGTACGAGTACTAAACAGTATTATATTGAAAAAGTCATACAAAATGTATGTTGCGCCAAAACAAAAAAAAAACCTTTACCGTTTTTGTATTTTGATTTCAGAACTTTTCAAGGCTACATATATTTATTAGGAAGAATACTATATATTCATTGCCAGTGTATAAAGGCCTCAGAAATTCCTTACAAAATATTAACTGAGCATATCAAACTTACCTAACCTTTTTCTATTGTTAATAGGTATTTTTATGGGGATTACGTATTACTTTTTACTGAAAGTTCGATCAAACAGTTCTGGCTTCCAGGCTATAGATTATTTTTACCCATACATAAAGTTTAAAAAATTACTTAAAAAATAATTGTTATTATCATGAATTGAATAGTTTTATAATTTTGTTTTAAAGCAGTTTCGTAAATTAGAAGTACTTTTTAAGTATCTGAAGTTGATTTGTGCAATAACATAAAAGTATCAGCTCGTCAAGCGTACTCCTCGACTTTTACTACAACAATATGTTTCGTGGACATTAGACATCTACATACCAACTACACCTGATTCTCGATCTCTTAGTTTTACATTATAATATTTTATTGTATGGTTCCTTATAACTACATCTTTTTGCTTCAAATTGAATCAGGTTGAATTGATAGAAAGTTGGCGACGTGACGCTTCTTCTAATTGCTTGATGAAAATGTAAGTATAGTATCTAAATAGCGCTTTCCTACTTTTATACTACAGTTGTGACCTATTACAGTAATCCTACGTAATATTATCATATTTGATATAAATCTCTTTTTTTACCTTTATTGTACGTAGTAATAGAAAATTTCTATTTTTTTCATATTATATTCAATTAGGAACTCTATTTTAATCTAAATTAAACCAGCACTACTACAGACAAGATTCTTCCCTAATGGCACATGATGTTTTAAAGAACGTATTTTAAACGTTGTTAAGTCGGAAAAGGTTTTTCCGCCTTTGAACCTCAAAATAGCACCTTCGCCGCTTGATTTTGGGTTCTCAGGTGGAAAAATAGTATACGAAACTCGTTCGAAAAGGCTTCTTTACGAACCTCGTTACGTCCATCACCTTCTGCTCGAGCCGTAAATCTCTCGATTCGTAAATCGAAGCCTTTGCAAACTCGTACGTAATATACTATTATTGTAAAAACGTTTTGAGAAGTTCTGTGCTGTTAGGGTGGTCGAAAAATTAAACTCGCTGATTACATGGCAACATCAAAAGAAGCTCAACTTTTGAATTTGAAACAGTTGTTGACGTCTGTTCAAAATAACACGTATGGATACAATTGTGCAACGGTTAATTATTTAATTTAAACGTCTCATTTCGATTTTTTTATCGATTTCAGGAGCTTGACTTTCAGAACAAAACCCATGCGTTGTTGAGAACAGTCGCCATGAATACATTACGGCTACATTAGAATTCTCTGCGAAGTTGCGTCTGACATCAAACTTCTTACCGTGAATGTCAATATCTATACTTGCTTATAAAGCTTAGAGTTGTGAGCTTTTGGCATTAAATAATAGGGCATTCAGTTATAGCCTAGTATGTCATTAAAAGACCTATTATGTATTGCCCCATTGAGTGCCTATGCAAACATGATTTCATTAAAAGATTGTACGTCATACATTCAAGGAAAGTTCATCACTGTTCTCTTACACATCTTAAAATAGAGAAATTATAGTAGCAATTATTGTCATAGGAAGCACTACATCATTGACATCAATATTCGTATTCAAAAAATCACTGACGTCCCGTAGACAATACGTTTATAAAAATCTAACGTCTGTATAGTCATCCAAACAATAATACCTCATTCTGGAGGGTGTTATGATGAACATTGTTTTAGCTGGTGTTTATACATCTTAATTTAGATGAATTTGAACATAAGTCTTATGATCAATTTGGCTCGGGAGTCATGAAAGAACCATCTTAAGGGAGTTGGGTCCATAGAGATATTAGAATCTCTATGGTTGGATCGCTCTCACAGGAGGATGAGCGATGAAGGGGAGCACGGGTATGTGAATATAAGGCACCGTAGTAAAGTTTGATGTACTGACCTAGCCCAAAAACATCTGTTCTCTTGATAATGGAAAATGCATTCGTATGTATCTTGCCTGTTCTCGTGTGTTGATAATATACTTCAAAAATATTACAGAATATTCTTTAAGGTATATAATTTTTTATAGTATAAATCAAGTAACCTAAATAATTTTTTCATAAGGAAGATAAAAAATAGGAAGTAAACGGCATAGTCAATCTAATCTTTTTCATAATAGTGTGCTGTGAACTTTCAAAATTGTGATTTTAAGATAAAACATTATAGTACAAAGTTTGATGAAGAGCTATCCTAAGTTTCAGATCATAATTTTGAATATAACGTCTTCTAGAAGTGATTTTGTAAAAACCATCATACCACGTAAAAAGTCAAGCTGACAGAAGACAGTGTACTCAGTATATCCTTGTCTCCCTCATGAATGTAGCATACGAGCCGAAAGCCAATTTGTTTACGTTTGTGCAAAAATATCTCTATAGCTATGAACGCAATTTTGTTGAAACTTTGCATGTACGTCAATAAAGTATTATTGACAATGAATTGTCACAATTAACACATCAATTTTTCAAAAAATTCTCATCGCTACATGAAGCGTAAAAGGCATTTTTCTATAACTTTTTTGCCAATTTATATTTGAGCCCATGTTGAAGATGGCGAAAAAGAGAAACTTAATGAATTTTTTTCTCGAAATCTGCAGACGCGGTTTTGTTTAAATTTGATGACTATATCTATGAAGGGTTTTTTTATCACATATATTTTTTTAAAAATATTTTCATCGTTTAGTGAATTGCCCCCCGACTTCATTAAGTTAAGATTGACTGTACCCGTCACTACATTAACAAAAAAAAATTTGCGTCAAGTTTCAAGATCTCAGGCCCCCTTGGAACTACGAAACGAATAAGATTAATTTTATAAAGTTTAGTCGGATTTCTATAAGAAATCATAAAAACTAGCTCTTATACTTAATAATTATAATAAAATAAGATGCTAGGTTTCTACAAAATTCCAGAATATAGTGAATTAATATCCGTGCTTTCTTAATATTTGTGTGAAACAATTACGACGATTTGTTAATCGAAAGCAAATAGGACATTATCAAATATTCTGAAAAGCAAATAAAATTCTCATGTTAAAAGATAAGATGTACAATCAAGTTTATTTCCCTAGGACAGCTGAAAAATAGCTAACCTGCTGAAGCAAATGATAACAGTTATAGTCATGTACATAATATACAATCATTTTTTTGGGAGAAAATTTTTTTAGCAGAAGAATAACTGAAATCAGAAGGTTGCGTGGTGATGAAAAGAAAACTACTTTCCAAGGAGAATTTTTCTGGAAGCACCCATATTCTGGCCAGATTGAGTGGCACCCTTGTTGGAACCAGCTTGGAGTCCGATCATAGTCTGTCCTGCTTTGAGCTGCTCTTCGGTGAACTCACGTTTACACTCATCAGCTGGCTTTGGGCCCAGGTACGGTCCCTTCCAATCTGAGTGCCTGAATGTCTGCAAATTGCACAAGTTAGATAACTTAATCAAACACAAGAGTTAATCACTTAAACAATAGTAGACCTCTCGTGAAGATGACTAGTGAATATAGTACCCGTAAATATTAAATATTATTTTTCAGCCATTCAAAGCTTAATTGATTTCTCTTTACTTGCGCAGCTTACCTCCACTTGAATTACGATTTGCGGATCAATAGGTTTGAAGACGTGTAGTCTTTGAGATTATCAGTTAAAGCGTAATGTAATTGATAAACAAGTTACCCTGAATATTTAATATTATTGGAATTCGCTTTTGAAAAGAAAACGATTTGCTTTTGCTGTAGTCTATTTCTAGAACATAATTATTTAAACTTTAAAATAATGATTTCTGGGCCTGAACCGCAGGAAAGGAACTTAATCCAGAATCATTATAGATAAAAGTTACTAGATATTTTTACTCAATAGTTCAATCCATCATCAGCTTATTATTTTTAAAGTTATTCGAAAACTATTGATCTGTGAAAAAAAAATTGAAATAAAGGTTAAGGGCAGTCCAGAAATAGTTAAAGCTACCTACCTTTTCCATAAGGTTTCTTTGATTGTACAACTTTCTAACATTAATTATTTAACAGCTGGCTATTTTGTCAAAAAAATAAAAGAATACGCACGTTCTTGACACTTCAAAGAATAAATCAAGCCCAATTTGGTAAGATTGATTGAGCATTTAAGGTGAAAAGTGAAAAATCAGATGTTGGACTCATAAGGTGTGGCTAAGGGGTTTACTTTTCTACTTTATATACCAATTGATCTCGCTAAAATCAAACTATATTTATTGCTTGTAGATAAAATAATGTGCGCCTACTCTTTTTTTCTCCCAAAACCATGAAAAGTTAATTACGAACGCAAATAACATCACCTAACTAAATTAATCATAAGATATTATGGCCACAGTATCACAGTGGTTTAGGCTGCGGTTCTTGTAGCACAGGGGGCTTGGTAACGCATTCTCACAAGCTCAAGACCCGGCCTTTACTCACTTGGCTCGTATCTCTGAAAATCTATTTTTTCGTGTTCGTATTCCAACTGTGGTCCAATGTTTTGGAAGCCATGTAAAATAAGATCTTCTTTGCTGTGTATGTGATTGATATCATAATTGAATCTGAGGCGGTTTTTCACTTTGCCAATGATAATGGCGTATATATATATATGCATCGTAACACAACATTGCAGAACCTATTAGGCACAGTTCTCAGAAATAGCTGTAAAATATAAAAAAAGCATAATATATAACTTTCAATAAACTAGTTTCCTTATCTACTGATTAACAGGTATACTACTTAATTTACAATAATCAATGTATTAAAAACATTTACATATCAGAAAAGAGTATGCGCAGATTCCTGAAGCTACAAGAAATAAATATAGTCTGATTTTGGCGAGATTCATTGAAATATGAAGAAGAAAAATTACTAATCAGATCACACCTTATCAATCTAATATCAGATTTTTTAATTTTTTTTCTTAAACTCTCCATGAATGTTACCAAGTTTCAGCTTGATTTATTCTTTAAAGTGTCAAGAATTTGCATCTATTTTCATTTTTTCGATAAAATAGCTGGCTGCTAAATGAATAATTTTATAAAGCTATACAATCAAAGTAATATTATCAAAACGGTAGAGAAATATAAATAAATAATCTCTAGACTGCCCTTGAGCTAGCCCTTAGCATTTATCCTAAGCCCACTGATAATTTTTGATTTTATTGTGATTTAATATAATTATTTGTAATTAAAATATGTTTAATAATAATGTTAGAAACATTACCTATAAATACTTCCATAACGATCACATGAAACTACAAAACTTTATACTAAAATTTATTTTGGCTACTACATAGATACACTGATAAGATGGAAACAGTATATTACGCCACGAGGGACGTAACATAATCTCCCATCGTAAAAATCACAATTTCAGCCTGCTAGAAAAGTATTTTAACGTAATCTTTCGTTCTGAGATGAGGGAAGAAAGATCGTCTTTCGACGGAGGGTATGGTGAAATAGTATATTAATATTGCAATATTTTCTTAACGGCACGAGCAATTTTTTTCCAATTTAAGATTTATATGGCAATGTGAAATAAACTATTAGGTTCTGAAAGAAAGTTTGTCGTATGATCAATTTTTAATCGAATAAAATAATAGTTTTTTACGCTTTCGTATGCTCGCTATGTTAAGTTGTGCAATTTTGGAGCCTTTTATTTTCGTTTCTGCTTAATTCCGCAAGTAAGGAGAGATCGTTTAAGTCTTGAAGGCTACAAAATAATAATATGAGATATTTATTGTCACCAGCTTCACAAGTGTATAACAATATTAAATGTGCTTATACACCCATAACTGCACGTACGAGCAACATAGAGCAAAATTGCACATCTAGGTATATATGATGCACATACCTCACGGCCCAGGGCAAAGAGAGTTGTGATAACTTGCCCAATATCCTTTTTTTCCCACAGTTCAACTGTTTGGAAGACATCGATGTCAGGTACTCCATAATCTTTAATAGCCTTTTGAAATCTATTTTATTAAATAAAACATAAAATGAAATAACCATGCGGAATCAAGAAGAATCCTTAAAATAAAGAGAAAAGTGCGATGACACGTGTTTTATTTACAACTCATGTTTTTAAATGATATATTATGAAAAAAATTCTTGAAAAGTTGCCTAAATTATAAAACCTAGTAAATAACTTCAAATTTTGAGGTACTTAAAATTTAGCTCGTCAGCTTTGTAAATAAATTTTTATTTACAAAGTGTAAATAAATATTTTTACTCACGGAACGGTGGCTTTTGCTGGTATTTTTAAATGAAATGAAAAACTCTTGAAAATTTGCCAAAATTATGAAGTCAAGTAAACAACCTTAAATTTTGAGGTACTTACAATTCAGCTCGTCAGTTTTGTAAATAAATTTGCACTCACGGAACAGTGACTTCTGCTTTAATTACTGACATGTCATTCTCTGAATTGAGTACATGTCTCAAAAGTTTTGTAAGAAGTATTTTTTTTTCGTTGTAAGGATATGTTTTCAATGGTTTTTACATAAATTGGCTATTTCTAACCCTACTAAGTTGTTAACATGATAAGAGTAAATAGTCAAGTCAACAAGTTTAATCGATTAGTAAGTACTTCTGACCAATTTTTTGATTCCATGCTAATATATGAGATCATTATGTAATTATGAACAAGAATAAAAATCAAACGCGAGTCTGTTTACATAGAAATAGCTATTGATATATTTTTACGTTTTTTCCCTATTATTTTTGTTAGGTAAAGCTTTAGTAAACAGTGTAGGTATGAGAAAAATTTCACTTATTTAAGGTATTTTAATATCCTTTAAGATGACACATATTTACTTGCTAAATCATTGTGCTTAACTTACTTATTAATGTTTTCCATCATTTTAAATTCACCACCGGAAGTATTGATTTTACTAATGCATCCTGGCTGAATTTTATTAATTAGTTCACAGAGTACCTGACCATCACGCAGGTAATCTTCGAAGGGTGATGAGAATTTTCTGCCAATTATTGCTTCGATCCACTCTTGGGCTTCTTTCTCTTGCTGGGGGTCACGCTTGGCAAGAATCTACAGAATAAATAACGAGCTTATTGTCAAATTTTTTTTTATTTCTATGTACACTTTTTTATTGGTTTGATGTTCATGTACTACTCAGATAAAATACAGAAGTTCAAAAGTTTTGTAATAAAAAAAAAAAAAACGGCTGTTGTAGTGTCATCGGAAAAATTACTTTTTGATCTCTGTAACGGTTGTTTAGGCTGAATGTGTTAAAAACATAATAACTAGTTATTTCTTTACTTATGAAGTTTTGAAGTTATCTGTTTTTACATTCTTTATAGCATCCTACTAACTTGATTTCAATTTGATTTGAAAAATCAAGTGTTACTGAGTTTATTTAAGAATATCTTGGAACGACTGCTTATCCAAAAACAAAAACAATATAAGAACGGCTTTTCCTACAACCAGAAATGTACGAAACCCTTTGCGCATATAAACGCAAACTTATGTATACAAATGTTGTACCTTCGCACGAACTTGACGCTCGAGAGCCATTGAAACGGATGGTGTGCAAATTTTCGTGCACTACGAGACGTTTTAAAGACTTAAACTCAAAAAATGAGCCAACGCGCTTCTTGATCTGGTCTTTATATAAATATGCCTTGGCTCGGAAAATCACTCGACACGAGTTTTAGCCCACGCAATGCCTGTTTCTAATATTAGTTGTGCGTACACACACTAGCTGCTATAATGTATAATACGTATCTGTTTTCCTTTCTTGACTTTTCTTTCTTGTGTATAGAGGCACAATTAAAAAATAGAAGCATATTTATGTATTCCAGTGGTTCCTAGCGTTGCACGCAATTTTGCCAAGACCTTGGGCAAAATAGCACTCTTGTATTTTTTTTTTTGTTGCAATTTGGGGATAAGTAGCTTGAGACAAACATCTGCCCATCTATACTTGACATTCATAGTTTTTATTAGTACCATTGGAGAGTCATATCATGAACTGTCACCTAAATCTTTTTTGTCTGGATACCTCATTAAAAGTAATTACCAAGTACCAAAATCTTTAATATCTTATACTTATCAGCTTCTGAATTAAAAATGGATTATCTGTAGTCAAATTGACTCTTCTGATGTATGGAATACTGTTCAAGTTTTATAGTTAGAAAAACGAATTTATAGCATGTGCTGTTTTACAGACAACAAAAAAAATCGATGTATGGGTGTTTCTGTCATAACTAACGATTTCAAAAATAGATCTGAGAAAAAGTTGTAAAACAATTTTGTTACATGGTATGTCTATCTTAAATACCATCCTTAAAACGTATACGAATTGATTCTTTACAAAGTTCTGTCCTCAAAAGGTACAAGACATATTGTATAAGTAGTACATTTTATTTAATTTTGCAAAAAACAACACCTGTTCCTGGAACCCGTAGATAGCTGGTTATATAGTTGCAGTGTTCTAACCTATAATAAATAATCCCAACTTTTATTTTAGTCAAGTTACAACCTTTTAAAATAGTGTACCACGTAGCTACTTAAGTTAGAAGTATAATATTTCGGTTAATTGGTGTGTCGCACAAAAAAAGGCTTTTTTGTAAATATGCCGAAACTTGTGTTTCATGTTTTAGATCAACTACTTAAAACTCAATTTATCAAATATATTTTAATACACGACTTGTTATTTGTTATTATAATATTTACAAACTCAATAAATTCGTTATTTGTAAAAAACACTGTTTTTGACATATTTTTATTTTATTAATACAATTAGTCTCATTTTTAATTCAATATTTTTATTATGGCAAAGAAGCATAGTTTCTATCAATAGTACTGTGACGGTCCCACTGGTTTGCTTATTTTCTTAAGATACATAAGAGTTATGAAAAAATTATCGAAAACACATTTTGCGACCGAAAGTATTCTCAACTTTAAAAAAAAAAATACTTTCAGAACTCAGAAATAAATTTCATTAAAAGGTCAAAAAATCACTTTGTTTCCAAAAAATCGATTTTTAACACCTTATCCTAACTTTTTATATAAAAAAAGGACGACACCAAAAAATTTATAGTCAATCGTTACGTCACAATATGTATTAAAATTTTGGGGGAAAAAATGGTCAGCTTTGTAAGATAAATTTGAAGAAAACTCAAATGCTCTTGTTTTCATGTGAAAATAGACCTTTATGAGTTCCTGATGTTAATATTCATACGAACGCTTGCATGATGAAAGGGTATGGATAGTACATACAACAATCCAGAGCTTAAAGTTTAGAAACCATGTTGTGTTCATTGGCATTGATAGGCTATAGCAGGCCTAATACTTTGACTAACCCATTCGAAATTGAATTTGTCTGTTTTTTTCCTCCCTTTATCGATACTTGATGACAAATACAAGTATTACACCCAAATAACAAGAACAAATCAAACAATGTCAACGATGTATTGGAAACATTTTATTTTATTTTATTAACAGTGTTATATTGGTTAGAACTGAGATAGTTAATTATGTTGGCGTAACCAACCCTATCGTTCAATAGTAAACATGCATGTTAACTGAGCGTGCTTTGTACAGCAATAGCCTTTGAGAATCATTGCTCTAAAAACTTATTTGTTTCATTGTACACTGTTATAAGTAAAAATAAAAATGAATAAACATTTTTTATTACCGTATTAGCCAACTTCAAACAATTCGTAAAAATTAAGAATTGGGTTTGCAGAACCACGTTGACGACTGGCTCGAGTAGCTAGACGCGTACTGCCGGCGATTCTATCACAGTGACCTTTACCATATGACGTAGCATAAAAATAACATTCACAAATTATCCCCGAATAGGTCGAATAACTACTATTCAGAAAATTTTACTTATTTTTGAATTGCTGAGGAGCTTCATCAGACATGTAGTGAATTTCATTCATTTCGCTGTATTTCGTTTTTATATACTCAATCAGATGCATTTAATATATGTAAACTACAATCGAATCATATTTTAAGTAATCAGATGTGAAAATAAAGCATCGGTGTTTTATGTCACTGTTTTTGTTGAAATATGCTACTACTGGAAATAATGCTGCTTGATTGCTGTTCCAGTGAGAAGCCTGAACGGCATCTTGAGCAACAAAAGCGTCATTTTTCTACCTCGGGCGTTTTTTAGAGGCTGGTGAGCCCTCGGTAGGAAAAATAGCATTCGCCACATAAGCGCTATCGCTCCATGGCTACCTTACGTCCCTCGGGCCCTGCTTCGCAGATCCCAGATCGCCACAAAATAGCCCCGGAGACGATGGCACTTATCCAACGAAAACTACTATTTTCTTACCATGGGCCCAAAGTGCAACTGCCGCTTTGCGCCCTCGGGTCACACTTTGCGCCCTTGTAATCACTTTGGGCCAATTGGCAGAAAAGTTTTTGCGCCCTCCGGGCCCAAAATGATTTACTGGGCGCAAAGTGTGCCCACAGGCACAAAATTGCACTTTGCGCCCTCGGTAAGAAAAACATACGCGACTCGGGCCCCAACCTACAACAAGCGCGCCCTTCGGGCCCTCGTGTTTGTACTTTGTGCCCTAGTGACGTAATGTACCATTTCCGCCCTCGGGTGGTTTTGGGAGGCTGGTACTTCCTCGGGCGAAAAAGCAGTTTTCCGGAACTCGTTCGAAAAGTCTCCTTTACGAACCTTGTTACGTCCCTCGCCTTCGGCTCGGGCCGCAAACCTCTCGGTTCGCAAACAGAGACTTTTCAAACTCGTAGGAAAACTACCATTTTCGCCCTCGGGTGGTTTCGGGAGGCTGGTACTTCCTCGGGCAAAAAAGCAGTTTTCTGATACTCGTTCGAAAAGTCTCCTTTACAAACCTCGTTACGGACCTCGCCTTCGGCTCGGGCCGCAAACCTCTCGGTTCGCAAACAAAGAATTTTCAAACTCGTAGGAAAACTACTATTTCTGCAAAGTCTAAGAGAAACAAGATCTCATATTGTTTCAATTTTTCTTTCAGTTTTAAATTAAATTAATTTTATTGCGATGCAATAAAGTCATGTGGAGTAAGCTTGTCCATATTTTCGAAAAGAAGATCTATTATGACACAGGCTTCATAATTTACTGCGTGAAATTCATATTCCTCCAAGGCATTTAAAAATTAACAGTTCATTTCAGTTGCATCCTGATAAATAGCACAAGTTCATTCGAAACATTAAGAAAATGGTATGTCACAGACCAATTTTTTAATCAAAATTTTATAGTTCGATTTAGCAGGAGCAAACCAACCTGCTGCTGAAAAGTTGTTCAAATTTGCAACCTGAAAAATTTGGCCTTTATCACTAAAACAACGTACAAAAATATTTTTTCATAGTAAAATAAAAGTAATTAATGTTCTTTTTAGAGCATCAGCTTTATGTTTTCATGAATTAAAGATACGCACACAGTAAATGTGTGCCTGCACATGTTTCTAGCTAACACACAATGTCTGGGTCTTAACATTGTAAATTTTAGAAAAATAATTTGGTCTTGAAGAAATTTGTTGTTGAATGATTCATACAGTTCAGTGTAACGTGCGATATGCAAGGCATATCATACTGACTTTCCCTAGTAACAGCGAGGCTTCTTTATCAAAAAGGCATCGACAGGTGGGGAACAAGCTAACATAAGGCCCAGCGAGCCTCAAATCGTAGCACTTGAGCACTTAGGTGGCACTCAGGCAGTCAACCAGTCAGGAAGTCAAGAGTCAAGAGTCAAAGAGTCGAGCAGTCGGGCATTCGCGCATTTGGGAATTGAGGGTACATGACAAGCCTTCGGGGGAAATACACGCGCTACTTTGCCTTTAATTTTGGAGATTTAAATATAGCTCTTGATGTAATCAATTGTTGGTATTTCTCGCGACGCACCTCCTACCTATCTCTTTCCCACGTAACAGTTTTGGTGCTAAGTGTGGGGTCTGGTAAGAGTCGGAATTTTTTTTTTCTTTCATTGCAAACGTTAAAAAAAAAATTCCGCCAAGAAGCACACATAGTGCAGTGCCGCGAGAATACGACAATTAAAAATCAGGAAGCCAAGGGAGCCGATCAAAGACGACAGTTCCGGTTATATTCGACAAGCAACGGTGACAACAGCCTGGAAGCCATCAGGACCAGGATACCAATTGCAGATAATCCCAGGATAAAGGAAACAAGTGGCAAGCGCTGAAGGGAAATGGTTGCCAAAATTTCATTCTTATTGGCATGCATATCTACAAGCACGTAAGTACATTAAAAATAAAATTAATTTTATCCCTTACCCCCAAGGCAAGATAGGGAAGGCACACATTAAGTGAAGATTAGGTCGTGGGAAATTTTTTTATTGATATATATATTTATTATCTCGTTCGCTCTTTTTTTTTTTAGTGTTTTCTTTAAAAAAAAAAAAAAAA